CTCTTGTTTTGTTTTTTTTAAAAAGTAGACTACTACACCATCTGCAAAGAACAACTTTCTCTTTTTTCCTAATGCTTATACCATTAAAAAAAAAAAAACTTCATCTCATTTTGCTGACTAGAATGCCTAGAATATGTTAAATAACAAAAGGGAGAGAGGACAGCCTTGCTCTTAAATGTTTTACCTTTAACTATAAAGGTGGCTTTATAGTCATCTTAGAATGCTCCTCCCTCCTCAAGTCACTCTCTGTGTCCTAAACATTCTGCTACAGCATAAGAAGACGCTCTTTGCTGAGCTAAGAGAGTTTCCTTCAATGATTAACTTACTAAAATCCTGGGTGGTTCCTTCTTTTAAATCAGAAATAAACTCTCATTTAAATTACTGTCATATTAATTTTGTTTCAAAAATCTTACGTTCATATTATAGCTAAATTGTCCTTGTTGCTAAGGAGGGAAACATGGGCCTTCATACACTGGGTGCTCTCCCAATTTCAACAAACTACGTTGTTGTTATTAGCTGTCATCAAGTCAGCCCTCCACTCATGGTGACTTCACCTACGACAGGCTCAGGTGCTTGTGACCCACAGGTCATTCACTAGCTAATTTTTGGCCGTAGATTGTGAGGCATTCCTTCCTACTCCATCTTCATCCGAAACCTGTTTAGCATCATAGCAACAAGGAAGCTTCCACTGGCAGGTGAGTGTTGGTTGTACACGAGGTGTTTGGGCTGGGAGTCTAACCTGGATCTTCCACGTGGAAGATGGACCACTAAACCACCATTTTAAGTGTTGTTGTTGCTGAAGCCATTGGTACTATTGTTAGTTGCTGCTTGGTTTATTACGATGCATGGCAAACATGTATAACAGAACAAAATGTTGCTCTATCATGTGTCATCTTCATAACCCTTTCTATTTTTGAATCTGTTAACTACATTGGGAAATAAAATCAGATTGGCAAATGCAAGGATTCTTGCAATCATAAATTCTTGGGATATAATTTGAGTGTTCCTTTCCCTAATTATGTCAATGGTCTTCTTATGCTGTAGTAGAATGTTTAGGACACAGAAGGTGACTTGAGGAGGGAGGAACATTCTAAGATGACTTCAGAATTAGAGAGACATTTGCTGAAGTGAAGACACTAAAAGGGGGAAGTGTGCAGGGAAACATAACAAGTTTAGTTTGGACCTGTTGGAATTGAAATGCCTATAGGACATACAAACAGAAATATGTGAACTTGGAGCTGAGCAGAGAGGTTAGGGCTGGAAATAGGGACCCAAGATTCCTTGGGCACTCATCTGAGTGTACAGTGAGGGTCGGATGCAGGAAGAATAGAAAGAGTACAGGAGAGCTGGCCTGAAGTTGGTGGTCTAGGGGTCAACATGCAATGGGGGAGCAGAAAGCCAAGGGAGAAGGAAATTGTGGAGCCTCACGCACCAAGGAGAAAACAGTCTCTGGTATGAGTGGCTGACCACAATGTCACATCCTACAGTGAAGTCAAGTACACAGGGATGGGGAGGGACCTCCACTTGGCCATGATGGGGACCTTGTTGGCCTTGACTTGACAGGTTTCAAGAAGAGATGAGGGTGAGAGTCAGGGAAATCCTCACCATATCTCAGGACATGAAGCAGTGCCTGCACAGATGGATGCTTAGTTGTCAGTGTTGGATGGATAGATGGATGGGCTGGTGGTTGGAGGGTTGGATACATAAACACATGAATAGATACATGGATGCATGGATAGGTGGAAGGATGAATGTACGGATGGACAGTTGAATAGATGGGTGAACAGTTGAATGGATGGATAGATGGATGGATGGATGGATGGATGGACAGAAAGATGTTTGTCTTAGAGATCAGAGAAAACATTATGAAAGAGATAGGACTGAGTTAAATATGTATATTTGAAAAGAAAAACATGTATCCTTAACAGGATATATTCTTTTTTAAATAATTAATTAATTTTACTTTCCCCTTCACCCAAGTTAATATGTGTCTACCCTCTAGTTAGGGATTTACCTTCCCTTCCCCACCTACCCCTGGTAACCATCAAAGAATATTTCTTTTTTTGTGAAACTCTTTCATTGGCCTTTTACAATAGTGTTTTCATACAATATTTGTCCTTTTGTGGTTGACTAAGTTCACTCAGCATAATGTCCTCGAGGTTCATCCATGTTATGAGATGTTTTGCAATTCATCATTGTTCTTTAACATTGCTAGTAGTCCATTGTGTGTATGTACCTGAGTTTGTTCATCCATTCCTCCATGGATGGGGATTTAGGTTGTTTCCATCTTTTTGCTATTGTTAATATTGCTGCAATGAACATGGATGTGCATTTATCTGTGTGTTATGGCTCTTTTTTCTCTAGGATGTGTGCCTAGTAACGGGATTACTGAATCATATGGTATTTCTATTTCCAGCTTTTTAAAGAAGCACCATACCATTTTCCACAGTGGTTGCACCACTTTACTGTCCCACCAACAGTATATGAGTTTTCCAGTCTCTCCACCCCCTTTCCAGCATTTGTTGTGTTTTGTTTTTCTGAACTTTGATATCAGTGCTGGGATGAGATGGTATCTCATTGTTGTTTTGATTTGCATCCCTCTAATGGCTAATGATCAGGAGAATTTCTTCATGTGTTTATTAGTTGCCTGAATGTCTTCTTTGGTGAAATGTCTATTCATGTCCTCTGTCCATTTTTCAATTGGCTTGTCTTCTTGTTGGTAAGGTGTTGACATTTTCTACAAATTTTAGAGATTAGCCCCTTGTCCAATATGTTGTTGCCAAAACATTCCCCCCCCCCAATCTGTGGGTTCTCTTTTTACTCTTTTGGTGAAATATTTTGATGCATGTGTCGAGTTTTCAGGAGATTCCAGTCATCTGTTTTGTCTTCTGGTGTTTGCATGTTGTTTGTTGTATTTGATAGTGTATTTACGCCCTGAATTAGGGCCCCTTAGCTTGTGCCTGGTGACATAATGCCTAAGGCATTTGACTGCTAACAGAAAGCTGGTGGTTCAAACCCACCAGCCACTCTCAGAAGGAAGACTGGGCAATCTACCTCCGTAGAGATACCACCTCAGAAACCCAAGGAGGGGTTACTATAAGTTGAAATCAACTCCACGGCAGTGAGTTTGGTTTTTGGAGTCTTTCAGCTTGTCCCTATTTTGTCTTTGATGGTCTTTATGGTTCTAGGCTTTACAATCAGTTCTTTCATCCAACTTGAGTTCGTTCGTCTTTGTATGTGGCATGATAGATGGATCTTGTTCCATTTTTCTGCAAGTGGATATCCAGTTTTGCAAGCACTGTTTATTAAAGAGAATATCTCTTCCCCATTAAATGAGTTTTGACCTTTCATCAGAGATCAGCTCTCCATAAGTGGACAGATTTATTTTCTGGGTTCTCAATTCTGTTCCATTGGTCTGTGTGTCTGACATTGTCAGGCTGTTTTAACTACTGTGGCTATATCTCAGGTTCTGAGATAGGGGACTATGAGGTCTTCTACTTTGTTCTTCCTTTGAAGTGCTTTATGTATCTGGGATCTCTTTCCCTACAAAGTTGGTGGTTAATTGATGGAATCTGAATTGGGGGCAATATATCTGTAGATCGTTTTGGGTAGTATTAACATTTTCATGATGTTAAGTCTTCCTATCCATGAGCATGGTATATTCTTCCAGTTATGTAGGTCTTTTTGTGGTTTTTTGTAATAGTGTTTTCTTGTAATAGTGTTTTGTAGTTTTCTTTGTATAGATCTCTTGTCTGCTTAGATTTATCCCTAAATACTTCATCTATTGGGTCATTGTTCAAAATGATATTTCTTTCCTGATTTCCTTTTCAGAGTTCTTGCCATTAGTGCAAAGGAATCTGACTGATTTTTGTATGTTGATCTTGTACCCTGCCACTTTGCTGAAACTTTTAATTAGTTCCAATAATATTCTTACTGAGTTTTTGGGATTTTCTATGTATAAAATCAAATCATCTGCAAATAGAGAGAGTTTTATTTCTTCTTTGCCAATTTAGTTACCTTTTATTTCCCTTTGTTGTCTTAGTGTTATGGAAAGGACTTCCAATGCAATGTTGAGTAGAAGTGGTGATAAAGGTCATCCTTGTCTGGTACCTGTTCACAAGGGAAATGCTTCAGTCTCTCTTCACTGAGAATAACATTGGCCACTGATTTTATATATGACCTTAATTCTGTTGAGGAATTTCCCTTTTATTCTTATTTTGTTTAGCCTTTTTTTTTTTTTTTAATCAGGAATGGGTGTTGGATTTTGTCAAATGCCTTTTCTGCATTGACTGATATGATGATATGGTTCTTTTGTTTTGTTAATGCGGTGGATGACATTGATAGTTTTTCTAATGTTAAACCATCCTTGCATATCTGGTATGAATCCCACTTGATCATGATATATTATTTTTTTGATATGCTAGTGGAGTCTATTGGCTAAGATTTTGTTGAGAATTTTTGTGCCTATGTTCATGAGGGATATTGGTCTATAATTTTCTTTTTTGAGTTGAGTTTTGATGGATGGAGACAATAGAAGAGGGGTCTCCACATGGGAGCACCATGAGTTGGGAATGACCCAGTGTCCACAGGCCCAGGGAGGAAGCTGGCCTGGCTAGACTGTGGAAATTGTGGGAAAGGAGGACTCACAGGCCATTACATGAAGCTAAGAAAGGCTGAGCAGGACCAAGGCACTCAGGCCTCACTCCCCAGACAGCTGTTGCCTGAGAAAAATAGTCAATCAGGTGTACATTGTGCTGCTGCTCACTAAAGATCCCATGATGACCAGGACAGATGCAGTGCTTGCCTTGAAGAAGGGGTTGGGCAGGGGTAGGGCAAATGCCTGCCTTCAATTTTGGGGCTGGCCACCTGTTTGCACCTCCCATTCCCCATCCTGCCACCTGCATCTGTCACGCCCAGCAGGTCCCCGTTGTGGTCTGACTCGCTGGGGGCAAGACCCAGGTGCTGGCCCCCCAAGTTTGGGTCTGAGCCTCAGTCACCGTGGTATGTCTTTGGCAGTGGGACCCAGCTCACCGTCCTAGGTAAGTGGCTCTCACAACCTTTTCCAACACCTCCTGCCCCATCTTATCTCCAGAGAGTTGATTTTTCTTTCCCAGGGGCTTCTTGCCCCCTGTCTTCCTCAGCTTTAAGGACCTATCACTTCACCCTTCTCTGTGGGGCCTGGGGGAGGCAGGTTGGTCTCAGGGTTCCCAGCAAGAGAACCCTGACAGGAGCAGCTCCTTCAGGGTCTGATAGCCCGGGTGCTGGTTTTGTTGGTCCTGAGAGCCTGGGCTGGCGATCTTGACCCCCAAGGTGGGTGCTCTGGCCTCACTTCCAGAGCAAACTCCACATGGGGGCCAAAGGCTGGTCTGACCATGACACTGGGCAATTTTAGAGACTGTCCCAATGCTCTGAGTCTGGGCTGAGGGCTGGATGCCCACCAGGGCTGGGAGAGCTGCACAGGAGGCCCAGGGATGAGGCTGGGGCTGTGATCTGGCTCTGGGGTGCAGAGGGTGAGCCTGTGGGAAGATCAGTAGAGGGTAAGGAGGGATATCTGGTTCCTTCTAGGCTGAAACTTTTGGGGGCCTTGGCTTGGGACCACAGAAACAAGATGAGACTAAATGAGATAACTAGACACTGTGCCTCCCATTGCTGTGTTCAGAAAGGAGCAGGACTGGAAGGCCAGATTTATGGGTCCCACTGGGCATAGACCCATATATCTCAGAGCCTGTTAGTTTCTGACTAACACCGAGGTGTCTCCCCAGTCCAGTGGGTTTGTCCTCTTCCATAGAGTAAATTGGGAGTTCAGTGAATTTCTGGCTGTTAGGTAAACCAGAGGTCATGAGAGCCTTCTGAGGTGGACATGAGACAGTTTTGCCCTATAGAGTATTGGCAAGTCACCCCAAAAATCCATATTACCTGAAAAGTCCCTCAGTCAGGCCAGTGGAGAGAGGAAGAGATGGGCAAAGTCCTAAGTACCTCCCAGTGGCTTTGGTTGGGACCAGTCCACTCCTCTCCCCATGAAGCTGAGTGGACAATCTGGCTGGGGCAGATCCTGCACCCCGAGGGTGAGAGGCACCCCCTGCATCAAGAGGAGGCTTGGGGCTTCTGTACACATTGTCAAGATGTCTTGCCAGCTGGGAGAGGGGAGGAGCACTGTTCACAGGGCAAGACCGAGAACAGCCCAAGAATGCAGCTGGGGCTGCGTCTGGCTTTCAAGGTTGTGTTGTTCCCTGTAACATCTTGCCCTAGGGCTGGAGCTGAAGGGCACAGGACAGGGGTCAGACTCCAAACTCAAAGTCCAGAGATGGAGGGTCAGCTGCTCTGGCCACATGGGGAAACCGAGGCCACCAGACAGGAGTGGTTAGACAAGCCACTGGTAGGAGGTGATTTGGAAAGGGCTTCTAGAAGATACTGGCTTCCTGCTCTTGGACTGCAGGGGCCTGAGTAGAAAGAGGAAGGAAGGGAGAGACAAACATGGCTTCCTGTGAGTATCCCAGAGCTATGCCAGGGAGACAGGGGGTGGTCCTCCCAAAAACCTAGAACCGAACTTATCCCTTACATCAATGCCTCTGTCCACCAGGTCAGCCCAAGGCCTCGCCCTCAGTCACTCTCTTCCCACCATCCTCTGAGGAGCTCCAAACCAACAAGGCCACACTGGTTTGTCTCATGAATGACTTCTACCCGGGCACCTTGACAGTCACCTGGAAGGCAGATGGCAAAACCATCACCCAGGGTGTGGAGACCACCAAGCCCTCCAAACAGAGCAACAACAAGTACGCAGCCAGCAGCTACCTGACCCTGACGCCGGAGACATGGAAGTCTCACAACAGTTACAGCTGCCAGGTCACGCACGAGGGGAATACTGTCGAGAAGAAGATGGCCCCTGCAGAGTGTACATAGAGTCTGACCTCCCCCACACCCAGGAGGACCAGGAGGAACTGGACTCTGGTTAGGGATTCTCCCATCCCCAACTCTTTACTATATTCCTGAACCCCAACTTCAGCCCACAGCCTCCCCATGTCCACTTCTCAATAAAGATCTGATATTTATCATAGTACATCTCCAATGTGCATCTGTGTCTGGTTGCTTCTATGAGGAAAGTCCTTGCTCCAAGGGCCGGAGGAGTTCCTGCATGGAACCCCATCCATTGTAATTCCCAGAAACACACAGGGATGTGAGGTGAGCTCTGCATACTGGGGAACCTTGGCACAGGAGGGATTCTCCCAACTGATGCCATCCTGGGAAGCTGTCCTTTTCCATCCAAAAGGAGAAGGACTGAAGAAGAGGGAAGTCCCTGAGTATCACACCAGGGCGAAGGGGGTATTCTAGTTCCTGGGTGGGCTGGAGACAGGCAATGGGAAGAAGAAACCCTCTGAGCTGAGACCACACTCTGACCACCAGACGAGGTTCAATTTCCTGGTCTCACCAAGGGGCCTAGGAGGACAGCATTTACCAAGAATGGTCCATGGTTGTCCTATTAACTGAGAGCATTGAGAATATTCAGAGAATTTCACATACACATCCATCTTAAAATCTCAAAATGTATAACCAAACCAAACTCACTGCCGTTGAGTCAGATCTGACTCATAGCGACCCTCCTTGGGTTTCCGAAGACATATCACTACAGAAGTAGATTGTACAACTTTCCTTCTGAGGAGTGGCTGGTAAATTTGAGCTGCCAGCCTTCTGGTTAGCAGTCAAATACCTTAGGCACTATGATACCAGAGCTCCCTCAGAATGTATAGTAGCTAAGGAAAGACACAAGATGTGCAGGAAAGGAATTTAATGTTATGTAACTCAACATTTCCCAAATCATATTGATGCTCTCCTTACCATAAGAAGCCGCACTAACGCTCTGCAGACAATAGTATCCAGGGACAATATGTAGGGGGAACTGGGGATGAGGCTGAGGCACATATGTCCTCTGTTTAGATCCAACATGTGTGAGGTCACATCAGCCTACTGTGGTGCTGTGAACTCCATCATGAGGTCTTGGAGTATGATGTCAGTTTTGATTATAAGGTTAAAGGCAGGTTTATGGATGGAAATTGTTGATGGTCATTGTGGTGGTTAAGTGTGTATGTCAACTTGGCTGGGCATGGTTGAGTGGCTGGGCAGCTGGTGGTAGTTATTCCCCATGATGAGACTGACAACCAGCTCCATGGTGGGATCTACCACAAGCAGCTGAGTAGCTGCCTTTGGGATGTGGTCTGTTTCCTGTATATAAGGAGAAGCCTTGGGGATAGTCTCTAGTTTATGGCACGCTTGGACTCTGCATGTAGCTGTGTCATTGTACAGCAGCTTTCCATGGTTTGCCAATCTTGGGACTTACAATGGACTTGAATTAATGGTCTGCCATGTAGTTTGGTAACATTGGGACTGTGCCATTTTATTTGTCAACCTTGGGCTTGTCAGCCTCAGCATCCAGCAGCTGCCTGAGTGAAGAAAAGCTTCTAGCTTCAGTGGGCCAGGAGCTGAAGGCAGAGTTGAAGCCCAAGGCTGAGGGGATTTCACCCAGCCCCTAGAGCCTGGCACTTTGAATTAAGACTTAAAGCCACCAAATTGTAAGAGAATAAACTCCTGTTTGTTAAGGCCATCCCATTTGTGGTACATTTTTGTCAAAGCTGTACTAGGGAACCAGAACAGTCATGCAATTGGGGGAGGGGACATTGGAGAAACTGGAGTAAGTGAGAAAGTGCACGGGCCCAGGCACAGCATGGACTTCTGGTGATTTGCCCTGGGAGGAGGTGTCTGAGTGAAATTTAGGATTAGAGTCTAGACCAGGTCAGATGGGGTCAGGGCAGGGGAACTGTAGCATCCTTACCACAGGCAGGTCAGGTTGCCATGGTGTTGAGCCCAACCCCTGCCCCAACCCCACTGGAATTATACAGTTTTTTAAATAATAGTAAGCTTTATTATTTAAACCAGTTTCAGGTTTGCAGCAAACAGTGCAGAAAGAAGAGTATTTTTGTATATCCCCTCTAACAGCTAGCTTGCATTAGTGTGATACATTCATTACTCTCAAAGAGCATATGTTGGTACAATCTGAGTAACTAAAGTCATATTTTCTGAAGGAACCAGGGTCGGGAGAAAGATACCATGCTGGGTAAAGTAAAGGGTCGGCGAAAAATGGGGAGACCTTCAATGAAATGGATTGACACAGTGGTTGTGACAAAGGGCTCAAGCATAGCAAGGATTGTGAGGATGACGCAGGACTGGGCAGTGTTTCATTCTGTTGTCCATTGGAGAATTTCGCATACACACCCATCTTAAAATCTCAGACTGTATAACCAAAACAAACTCACTACTGTTGAGTCAGATCTGACTTATAGCGACCCCTCCTTGGGTTTCCAAGGCCATATCACTTCAATGAGATGGATTAACACAGCTACTCCGCTGCTTGTGGTAGATCCCACCATGGAGTTGATTGCCAGTCAGAACCAACTCAAAAGTGCCTAACAACAATAGCAAAGTCCACAGTTTACATGAGAGTTCACTCTTTGTGTTGTATGTTCTTATAGGTTTTGACAAAATATGCAATGAAATGCATATCTCACTATGTCAGCATACAGAATAGTTTCACTTTTCCTAAAATGTCATTTCAGCCACCTGTTCATCCCTTCCTCCTCTACCTGGATCCCTGGAAAGCACCCGAAAAGCTTTGTTACTATTTCTATAGTTGTGCTTTTCTGATAAGGTCATACATTTGGCTTTTTATTAAAAAGAGGAATAAGAGATCTGGCAAGATGGTGGACTAGGCAGAAAGACTGCACAGACCCTCTCCAACAAAGAAAAGGATAACCAATTAACACAGACACAGAAGATAATCCTGGACCCCTGAGCATTGAAGGGAAGGATATAAAAGTGGACTAAACCCCAACTAGCAGAAGAATTTGCATGAAAATACCAAAAAAGGAGACAGACAGAGCTGCGGTCTGGCAGCGATCCTGAACGATCGTGATGGCACAGACAGCTTGGAGATTCCCGAGTGCTGGTAGGACCTAAGAATTAACCTAAAAATCACCCTGCTACCCAGGGACTGCATGGAGGACTGTGCATGGTGGCTGGGGAACAAAGGGAGAAGGTGAAGAAAAAGGTGGGCTGAACTGTGGACTTTTGCTGATCCAGAGGGTGCTGCCATTTTGAAGGTTTAAAAAGCGGCTTGGCTATTGTGGAAATTTAAAGAGACAGTGCTCTCACAGATTCCTGGGGCTTAAGAACATGTTCTGCTTTCCACCAACTCCAAGGACACTCGGGGACTGCAAGACTGACAAGGTACGACATTCCTCTTGTTACTCTTATACCCCACACCTGCTTGGTGAATGGAGGTGCGGCCACCCCCACTCCCACCTACCTTCAGGGCCCAAAGGAACTCCATCACAGTCTGTGTGTTCAGACGGAGCCTGGGTGCCCTGCCCTGTCCTCCACCAATTTTTTTTCTCTTTTTTATTTTTATTTTTTTCTTTTTTGCTTTCTTTGGTGATTAGTTTGTTTGTATTTGTCTGTTTTAAAACAACTAATATTATTAATACTTT